GGCCATGAATTCATGCTCAGCTTTTTTGCTCAAGGCTGGTACTCTACCACTTGAGCCACAGCTCCACTTATGGTTTTGCTGGTTAATTAGAGATAAAAGTCTCACAAACCTTCCTGCCCAGGATGGCTTCAAACCACAATTCTCAGATCTCCACCTTTTGAGGAGTTAGGGTTATAGTTATGAGTTACCTGAGCCAGACCAAATGAGATTCTTGAAAATTTCCTTGCTAAGGTTGGGGTTGCAAGGCAGGCCTAACTCCTGTAATCTTTTGAATATCTACCCTATACTTATCCTTCATTGTATTTTCAAAGCAGATAACTTGTTTTCTTCTTAGCTGGAGAGATTTTGCCACAGGGTGAATCTTGTCTGGCTTCCCTGATAGTACTTCAATAACCTTTAGGAGAGATCTGGTGTTGGGAATTGGAAAGCTACTATTAACATACAGAAGAAACTTTGAGATTAGATAATGGGGGCAGGCTTGGAGAGTTCTGAAGTACAAAGAAGGCAGTTGGAAGGCACAGTAATGAATTGGGAAATGATGCAGGGAGCACAAAAAAAATCCGCCAACCTTTCTGATACAAGACTACAGGGGGATAGTGAGAATCACCATGGATACCTCCTGTGGATCGTGCTAGCCTGTGGAATTGTGATAATTGGATCTAAACCAGTGTAGTGTGGGAAGGGGGAAGGAGTCTGGGTTTGTAGATTGGCAAGACTACCAGGCATGTTGCTAAGCAACAGAAATTGATCACAATTCTATATATTACTTACACATAAGCACAACTACATTTTTTTCTATTCCCCCATGGGTGCTGGAGATGGATCCCAGGGCATGCTGGGCAGGCACATCACCAAGTGGGTCACATTTCCAGCCCTGTGTCTTTCAGTTTTTTGTTCTGTGGGTGGTGGTACCGGGAATCAAACCAAGGCATCTCACCCTTGGTAATCTGGTGCTCTCATACTGAGTTACACCCTCAGCCTTCAGTCTGTTTTTAATTTACTGTCTTGTTAATAAATTACTATACAATCTAGGACTCCACAGGTGCTTCTTAGGCCTCATGTTTGCTTAGTACTTAAAAGTTCAAAGTCCTGGCTCTCCTGCTATTTGCCCTGGGAGCCACCTGTAGTAGCCTCCTACAGGGATGCCCCCTTCCCATCCCCCCTGTCCTTACAGTTTGGATGTCAGTCCCTGCTTTTTTTTTTTTGCCAGTCCTGGGGCTTGAACTCAGAACCTGGGCACTGTCCCTAAGCTTCTTTTGCTTAAGGCTAGCGCCCTACCACTTGTGCCACAACGCCACTTCTGGTCTTTTCTGTTTATGTGGTACTGAGGAATCGATCCCAGGACTTCATGTATGCTAGGCCAAGCACTCTATCACTATGCCACATTCCTAACCTCACATACTTTTCATTTCTTCTTTTTTGAGGAGGACGGGGACAGGGGACTAGGACTTGAACTCCCTACCTAATGCTGAACTCCCTACCTTTCACTATGCTGAGTGGCTGGTGCTCTACCAACTGAGCTATGTTTCCAATTCCTCTGCCCACCCTTTGAAAAAAACAAACTGTCTAGAATGCCTTGTATTGCTAGACAGCAAAAATGTTTCACTTTTCCATCTCAGGATGGGCGCCTAACCATATTTCTGGGGGTGCCCATGGCCTCAGTTGTAAGGCATGGCATCTATCTTATTTGTGGTTCCTTCCTACAATTACAGAAAAGCAAGCCCATTATCTCTATAGTATATTTAGTAACTTCTCTATTATTAGAGTAAGCCAGCATTAGGTTTAAATGTTGAAGAATACCCAACTATAACTAGAATTTGAGCCTTATTTAAGTGTAGTTAAGCCTATTTTTTTTGGTTGGTCCTGGGGCTTGAACTCTTGGCCTGGGTGCTGTCCCTCAGCTCTTCAGTTGGCTCAGTGGTAGAGTGCTTGTCTTGCATGCATGAGGCCCTGGGTTCGATTCCTCAGCACCACATAAGCAGAAAAGGCCGGAAGTGGCACTTATGGCTCATGTGGTAGAGCGCTAACCTTGAGCTGAAGAGCTGAGGGGCAGCACCCAGGCCCAGAGTTCAGGCCCCACGACCGGACCCCCCCCCCCCCAAAAAAAAATCTGGGGCTGGGAAGGTGGCTCAGTGGCAGAGCGCTTGCCTTGCATGCATGAGGCCCTGGGTTCGATTCCTCAGCACCACATAAGCAAAAAGAAAAAAGCCGGAAGTGGCGCTGTGGCTCAAGTGGTAGAGCACTAGCCTTGAGCTGAAGAACTGAGGGACAGCGCCCAGGCCCAGGGTTTAGGCCCCACCACTGGACCTCCTCTTCCCCCCCCCCCCCCCCAAAAAAAAAAAAAAAAAAGAGTCTCATGGTCTTTCTTCAAACCCAGGGCTGTGTTTGAACTGCAATTCCTCAGATCTCAGCCTCTTTAACAGCTGGGATTACAGGGTGAGCCACACTGGAGCCCAGCTTTGCCTTTTTTGGGGGTAATGATTAATGGAAGAGGGGTGGGATTGAGTGGCAGATGAGTAGCTACAGACTCTAGAGAAGGCAGTAACAGGAATAGACGATGGCAGTACCAACAAAGGGCCCTTATCTCCCCAGTGATTGGGCCAGTCATCTTGTCAGACTGAAAAGTCTGAAAAGTACAGCTATTGCTATACCATACCAAGTTAATGGGTAGTCATTGTGAGCTTCTCCTTTTAGTAATCTGTTAACCCTTAGAAAGCCACAGCTTCTCCAGACAGCCTCTTGGAAGTGGCAGGAAGGGAGACACAGGGTGGGGGTGGACTATATTCTCAGTGTGACTAGTAGTCCCACTGGAAGAGTGCCAACTTCCAAGTCACTCCTCTTGTAGGGAACTGGTTGGGGCCTGTTCAGTACAGTATTATGGCAAACAATGACTTTAAAAGATACACCAAGTTTAGGAACATGGAGCTGAACATTCATTAAGAGTCCAGCTGGACTTGGTGGTTCATACCTGTAATCCTAGCTACTCAGAAGGCTGAGATCTGAGGGTTGCCATTCCAGGCCAGCCGAGGCAAAAAAAGTCTAAAAGACTCTTAGCTACAGTTAACTACCAAAAAGCCAGAAGTTGAACAGTGGCTCAAGTGGTAGAGCGCTAGCCTTGAGCTGAAGAGCTGAGAGACAGCGCCCAGGCCCAGAGTTCAGGTCCCACGACTGGACCCCCCCCCCCCCCCAAAAAAAAAAGTGCTATGGCTAAAGTGGTAGAGCATTAGCCTTCAGCTGAAGAGCTGAGGGACAGTGCCCAGCAGAGTTCAGGCCCCATGACCAACAAAAATACAAAACAAAAAAGCAACAAAAAAAAAAAAAAACCCTGCACTAGACAGTTCTGGACAAGTTCTATGTATGCATCCCTTCTCTTCTTGCCTGCATGCCTAGAATTAATGACATGCATAGAATTCATACATGCATTATATCAACTACTTGGTATATAAACAATAGCAATTAAATAATTACACAAGTAATTTTCGTAGAATTGTTTCTGCTATAAAATGAGGGATAACCTCACATTCTAGCAGCAACTCCAGCTTCACTAGGAGCTAGTAACTCAAACAATAGCTACTTAGGGATTAAGTGCTTTTGTCTGAATGCCATTTATGTGTAAATACTCCTACAAGAGAGGGATTTTCACTTTTTTTGGTCTCCTGAAAGGCAGCCCCAGGAATCCAATTTGAAAAGGGTTAAAGGAGTAGAAGGTAGTAAGAGGATTACCTAAATATACATTTGAGTTGAACTGCTTCAGGAATTGCAAAGAGAGAGGTTCCGAAGTGTTAGGTCCCTTTGCATAATTACTTCATTTTGGCAGCTACTAAAGCCACTAGCTTAATGATCGGGTATTTTTAGTTAACCACAAAATGTAGCTGTTAAGGAGAACAAAGTTTCACTATAAATAGAGACCTTGACAACAATTAAGTGGCAAACTGGCCATATTACAATGAAAAGTACAAGGCACCAACAATCCTAGCTTCTGAGGAGGCTGAGATCAAGGTTCACAGCCAACCTGGGCAAAGAAATCTGTGAGACTATTACCTACAATTAAGCAGAAAAACAAAAACACAAAAATGAAATGGAGCTAAATAGGTTGGGTGCCAACCTTGAGCAAAAAGCTAAGGGACAAAAATATCACAAAGCAGGCCTGGGGGCAGAACAGTAGGGCTCTAGCTGGAGCAACAAGCCCAGAAAGGGGAAAACTTGAGTTGAAACACTACTATCAGTAAAAAGAGACAGACCTGTCAACAGAATTAGAAAAAATATCATATATGTACACTTAAGCTTGAGTTTACATCCAATCTATGTAAGATCTGGGGACCAAAGGTGTGCATAATGCTTACAAGATCAAGGTTCAAAGAGATGCTCCGAGCCTAATTGGACTATGAGGGGAAAGAAAGCAGGCAGAAAGTAGAGGATGACAGAAAATGTGAACTTAGAAGTGCTGTAGTGTGAAGAATGAAATCTTGGAAAAGGACGAGCACAAACAGTGAGGTTTATTTTTGTGCCAGTCCTGGGGCTTGAACTCAGGGTGTGTTCTATCTCTGATTTCACATTTTAACACTGTGCCTGAGCTTTTTTGCTTTTTTTGCACTCTACCATTTAAACCACAGTTCCACTTCTGGCTTTTTGGATGGCTAATTGGAGATGAGTCTCATGAACTTTTCTACCCAGGCTGGCTTCAAACTGTAGTCCTTAGATCTCAGCCTCCTGAGTTGCTAGGATGACAGCTGTGAGCCACTGGTACCTAGCTAACAACAACAACAACAATAATAATAATACAAGGTTTTAGTAGCTGTCGATGGCTCCACTTGGAATTTCCAAGTCCTGAGAGAGGGTGTACAGGGCACATACATCTGAGGATCACAAAGTAGACAGATATATAGCATCAAATGTTTCAGGAAGTCTGATTTATTCTTTCAATATCCTCTTGTCACTGATTGTAAAGTTCTTTTTTAATCACTGATCTTAAGATGACTATCTCTTCTATTAAATTGCAGCACAGAATTTAGACATTTGAGATCAAGTTTGAAGAAAGTGAAGCTCAGTGAACTACTGGTGAAGTTTCATCAATCTTTATTCCTCTGGAGAGCATCTGCCTGCTAGCCTCAGCAGAAAAATGTGTATATGCTGATTTGTTTCAACACTGCAGAAGATAGGAAAGAATAAAAAATTAGAAAATGAAAAATGTCTAAAGATTGGTCATTTTGACATTTTTGCCACGTGCATGAAATCTACCATTATAGAAACGTAGTATACATTTTATATACCATACCATCTTGATGGCAGTGCTGGCTCTGAGGGACCCCAAGGTTCCTGCAAACCTTACATGTAGAGAGGTGACTAGTGTGACACCAAGTTCTCGATCCTGGCAGTCATTCTCCTCCCCTCCCAGACCCCCATTTCTCAGAGTGCTGTAGCCAGGTGCTATCTTCAGACAGGGTTTATTATTTGAGGATGAGGTGCTCTGGGGACCTGAAAGCAAGCAACAATCACAAAGTGTGAGAGGGAGGATGTGATTCAGGCAGGCAGAGAAGGCGGTGGGGAGCCTGAGTTGAGGAAGGCAAAGGGGTTTAGGGGCTTGTGAGCTAGAAGAGAGGCCTCTCTTTGGAGGCAGTGGGTGGGAGCACACAAGAGAGATCAAAGCCTGAGGCCCAAGGAACACTGAAACTCACTGCCCTGTTTCCGTACCTCACTCTGATGCTCTGGGGGACTGGGCTTGGCTTGGCCATTTACTGCTCCTAGAACTGCACAGACAGGGTCTCTACTCTGGCTGCAAATCTGTCGTGTCTCCAAGCATGGACACTCAATGAGTCCAACAGAAGTTCCTGGTTCGAAAAGAAGAGAAATTTATTGTCTTTTTCTTTCTTGTTTTGCCAGTCCTGAGGCTTGAACTCAGGCCCTCCCTGTCCCTGAGTCTCTATTTGCTCAAGGCTAATGCTCCACCACTTGAGCCACAGCACCACCACTTCTGGCTTTTTCTGAGTACTGGAGATAAAGAGTCTCATGGCTGGCTTTGAACAGAGTCCTCAGATCTCAGCCTCCAGAGTAGCTAGGATTACAGGCAAGACCCACAAGACCTAGGTCTAGTGGAATTTCTCATCCCCACATCCTAGGGCTTGAACTCTGGGCCTTGGCACTGTCCCTGAGCTTCTTCTGCTCAAGGCTAGTGCTCTACCACTTGAGTCATAATGCCACTTCTGGCTTTTTTGGAGCGGTTAATTGGAGGTAAGAGTCTCAAAGGGATTTTCCTGCTGGCTTCTAATTGCAGTCCTCAGATCTCAGCCTCCTGAGTAGCTACATGAGCCACCAGCACCCCAACCGGCTAAGAAGAGAAATTTCTTAAGTCAATGATATAGTCCTGCTGAAAGCACCATTCTGTTTGCTAGGATCAGGGAGTGCTTCCCCTCCCCCATACTGATGGATTCCAGTTATTACAGGACCCAGTAGAAGCATCTTGGACAGGAGGATTTTTTTTTTCTTCCTACCCCTCTTTTAACCTATTATTTAGACTTACTTGGCTTATTTTAATTTGTGGTACCAATGATTGATGTCCTGGTGCTTATACTATGTAATTTGACTGACTCCTTTGTACCTTTATTTTGACTTTGCTTTTGAGAAAAGGTTAGTCCAATGAGCTCCTTTCCGATAGCTTAGCATGCTCCTTCCCCCTTCCACAGCTTGGCATGCTCCCTTCCTAGGCATCACTAGGCCCATTTAGTAAAGGCAGTAAACAATTAGCCTCCAACCCCCCTTTGCCTTGAGATGGCACTCCTCTGGGGCAGCTACCATCATATAAGGCAGCACGAGCCCTTTAGAGTGCCCTTCAGGTCTGGGCAGCTGCAGGGCCCCTTATCTACTAAGGCAGCAGCCAGAGCCTAGTCTACCATGATGAAACCCCTGGCCCTCACATCCACACCAGGGTCTCTGCCTCCTAACCCCTTCTAGCCCCTCCTAAACCTCAGTAGGTTATATAGGTCACCTTAGACAATAGCCGGCGCTTCTCACTCCTCTCCTGTGGGAAGGGGTCTTTCCAGTCCCTTTATTGGCAATAAACCTTTTCTTTGTTCTTTGTACCTGGATATCTGCATGATTTTCTGGCAAGGTCTAATTTACTTTGTCTCACTTGACTTTGCCCAACCTGGCCTTGAACTCCTCTACTTTCTCTTCCTCCACCAAAGAGCTGGGACCATAGGAGTATACCAACCAAGCCTGGAAGCCTGGTTACTTTAGGTTTGTGTGTGTGTGTGGTTCGTGGGGCTTGAACTCGGCCTGAGCAATGTCCCTCAGCTCTTCAGCTCAAGGCAAGCGCTCTACCACTTGAGCCACAACGCCACTTCCAGTTTTCTGGTGGTTAATTGGAGATGAGTTTCCCGAATTTTCCTGCCCAGTCTGGCTTTGAATGATCCTCAGATCTCAGCCTCCTGAGTAGCTAGGATTACAGGCATGAGCCACTCGTGCCCAGTTTACCTTTCTTTCTTTCTTTCCCTTCCTTCCTTCCTTCCTTCCTTCCTTCCTTTCTTTCTCTCTCTCTTTCTTTCTTTTCTCGGTCTTGGGGCTTGAACTCTGGGCGTGGGCACTGTCCCTGAGCTCTTCAGTTCAAGGCTAGTGCTCTACCACTTGAGCCACAGCACCACTTCTGGTTTTTCTGGTGGCTTATTGGAGATAAGAGTTTGATGAGCTGGGCACTCAGGAGCCACGAGCCACTCAGGAGGCTAAGATTCAAGGATCACGGTTCAAAGCCAGTCCAGACATTCTTGATGAGATGCGTGTCCATTTTCAGCTCCTGTTCTGTTCATACTGTATAACACATGAACATGTGGTACAAACCTACCCCCTTTGGATCACACTCTTAGTGTTACCACAGTGACAAGAGAGTAAAAGCAACCCACAGCAAAGTCTGTAATTAGACCATCATTTTGTGGTGAAATCGAATAACTGATTATAGGCCCGGAGAAAGTAAGCACCCTACTCAGAATTTCTGAGAAAACTGTTAATAATCAAAGCCACATTAAGAAGGCTGGAATAAATGCTGACCAATGAATACACAAAAAAAACAGCCATGTTCAGTGTCTATCAAGCATGAGGAACCTTTGGGGAAGCCTGCCATCAGTGGGAGACCACAATAGGCCACCAGACAGACCTGGTAGTAACAATCAATACTGCAGAACTCTCAGAGGGCGAAGGTAAAACAGATGTTTTAAGGAAACTGAATGAACAATGAGAACACCTAGAGAAATGATTCAGTACTGCCAATGAGAGAAAGAAGCAATTTAAAATTATGCAGCAATCCTTGAAAACTAAGCAAAACAGTAAAATGTGATCAAAGGAATCAGAAGAAAAGAATTGCTGAGACCAAAGATAGGCCATTTTCTTTTAAAATTTTCTTTTTAAATTGTTAGTATGAAGGTGATGTACAGGCGGGCACCGGTGGCTCATGCCTGTAATCCTAGCTACTCAGGAGGCTGAGATCTGAGGTTCGAGGTTCAAAGCCAGCCCGGGCAGGAAAGTCTGTGAAACTCTTATCTCCAATAAACACTCAGAAAAACCGGAAGTGGCGCTGTAGCTCAAGTGGTAGAGCGCTTGCCTTGAGCTGAAGAGGTGAGGGACAGTACTCAGGCCCAGAATTCAAGCCCCACGACCACCACCAACAACAAAAAAAGTGATGTACAGCGGGGCTACAGTTGTATAAGTCAGATAAAGAACACGTTTCTTTCTGGACAATGTCACCCCTTCCCTGGCTCTCTCCAGTTTTTTCCTACTGTTACCACCCGTCAGGCCATTTTCAAATAAAAGTTAGTGGGAAAAAAAAGGAAAATGGAATGGAGATGAATGTATACACAGCTTACAGCTTTAAATAGAGCAAATATTCAGATTGGGCCCAGAGGGAGGTCTAGAAAATGTATTGCAATAGATAGCAGAGTTAACATCTAAACTTCAAGAAAGATGAACGTATCCCAGAAGTAAAAGGTGAATGGTGACAGTTAAGTCAACCTAGACCAGCCAAAGGCATGTTAAAATCAAGCCCTCATATTAGCCTCAAACTCTGAAATGGAAATCACGAAAGCAATCTCAATGTACTTAAGAATACATTTTAACCAGAAGTGCAAGCTGTCTACAACACCAACCCTACAGCTTTTAACGCAACTGTTACATCTTTCATGAAATGAATTGGAGCACATACACAGGGAAAGTGGTGCAGGTTAAAAGAGATATTAAAGGGAGCTATGAATTCCATGCCACTCATATTATCATATCAATACCAGGACAGTAAAAGGGTTTCCTGCAGGGTACAGGGTATGTCACCACTCCCTAGTCACCTATCCAGCCTGTCACTTCCATGTGACTGCCTTTGCCACACCTGTTGCTTGAAATGGACATTCCAGCAAAGTGGCAGCTTCTGGAATGGGATAGGTTTGGGGGGCAGCAATTGTGGTTCTTTTCTGGGAACCAAAGAGGTGATGGCAGGCTGTCATGAGAGAGTTGCTTTTACTAAAGCAGAGCAGTAGGCAGGGCAAATATGGTGAGTATGAGCTGAGCAGAGCACTTGAGAGGGTTGAGGGTGAGGAATGGCCCAGCCATGGAGAGCAGGTAAGAGGGAGAAGGCAAGATGAAACCAGGAGAGGATCATGACAGCCCAGCACCCACTGAAGCCTTGGGAACTTGGCCTACCTGCCCTACTCCTGAGGGATAAGTGAAGGCCTGATGCTTCAGGCCATCCCCCGAAGACTCCGGGTTAGAAGTCATGGAACCAAATGGATGACTAGTGTGTTCATCACAGCGAAAGATGCATGGCCTGCAACGCCCAGCACCTGTAGGCAGAGAGGCAAGTGGATTCTCAAATGACACCGTGGCTGCAGAGTGGTAGAGCACTAGCCTTGTGCGGAAAAAGCTCTGGGACAGGGCCTAGGCCCTGAGTACCCTGTTTTCCTTGGGGTCTTTGCAAATTAAACCACGAGGGCTGCCATGCAGCACTACATGAAAATCCATCCTCCACTTTCTGCAGCCTGGGTTGTGTTCTTCCAAATGTGGACTTGGTTGATGGAGAATGAGGGAAAGAAGTGCAGGGGTTCCTTCTGCACTCCAT